CAAAAAAATATACGTATTTTGGAAATGTTGAGTCGAATTAGTCTAGAATCGATTAATTTTATGAAAGAAAACCTTTCAAACAGCCGTAGTCCGTAAACTATGATTCCTACAAAATTGATTCATAAAGAACGGAACGTATCTACCGTCTTATAGGGGGATCTACTGTATTTGTTCCGATTATCCGGATTTTTCCTTATCCGGACTACCTTCATCCCCAGTTAGTCCGGATAATCGAGATTCTACTGTATATAAAATATATGTATAAAATGTATAACTGAAAAAATTATAAATAGAACAACAGAAGAATATTACTAAATAGCTGAAATTAAAGATGTAATAAAGATGTATTTGTTAAGTAATTATCCAAAACACCTATTACAAAATAGTTAAATAAAAGTATGAACAGTAATATGAAAAAAGAATGGTGACTTATAAAAATATGAATATAATACTTTAATTTTTATACAATGTTTATCAGTTCATTAATAAATCATACAAAAATTGAGATTGATAATAAAAAAGAAAAAATTACTGAACACTGATAATATAGTATATTGTTTACAACGTAGTTGTGATACTTCATATTTATATATATGAGAAACTAGTAGGATGTCAAAACTGCAATTACAAGAACATATCAGGGTCATAAAGTATAATTATGTAATTATGTAAACTGATAGACACTGTAAATACAGGATGTAAACTGAATTTAAAGCAAAAATTTTAAAATAAGAAGAAAATAATTACAAAAGAAAATTAAGAGAGTAGTTACAGATTTTGAAGCATAGAAAAAAAATTTAATTGTATGAATGAAAACAATGGTTAACAATTGAATATTATTTGGTCATCTGATAGGCATTAGAGAGTGCAACTAATTTAAATTTCCATAGTCTGTAAAATATGTTACAAGTTATATAGAATTGATATTTTGAATAGTTTGACGCAGGTGTATTTTTAAAATGTCTTAATGTACACCATTGTTTGATATTTGTTGTGTACCATAATGTAAGTAAACTCATTTTTATAAAAATATATTTTCTCTCTTTTATAATGTAGTATAGTAAAAAATTTTTTTCCATATGGTGGCATTCACTCCAACTGAAAAGGAACTTTAAGTATGAAACATAGATTTTGGAGAAAAAGATATATATAATAAAGAATATCAGTGTGTCAACTTACAATCTGCAGTGTGATTGCCCTTTAAATATGATCACATTGTTATTGTACTGTACATATGAAGAAAATTTTATTATTAGTGTAAGTTTTCTGCCATATTTAAATATTACATACGTCACTCTCATTAAGCATAATTTGATGAATTTTATTTCTGTTATTACTATCTGAAAAGTATGTGTTATTACTCACAGTTAGTATTTAGTGATAATCAAGCATATGTTATTTTAAAAAGTTAAGTAACTTTTTAAAATAACACATGCCTGATGATCACTAAATGCATTTAAAAGTAAAATGTATTTAATACATATCAGTTTTTGATATTCTCATAAAATCTAATGATCATCAAGCATCATTGACTTGACCTGCCTTAATGATGCTTGATGATCACTAAATACTAACTGTGAATATATTCAGAAAAATGTAATTAAATGATAAATCTTTTTATATCATACTAAATCTTAACATTGTAAATCTGATATACTTTCCTAAATTATAAGACATTTAAAATTATTTTATACCACCCAAAAAAAAAAAAATAATAATTATATAAGTAAAAGAAATGAATTAACAATTGATTGTACTATGAATAATTTATGCTAAAAAGTATATATATCATATCAGAAATAACTTTCTATTTTATAATTTTATTTAAATGTCATTTATTTAAATTATTACATTACATATGCAAACTAAAAATAATTTAATCACTTAACACTTTCATAAATATAATCTCAACTTACCCCTGGTTCAAGAATAGTAATAGTTGATGGAGCTACTGCAACATTTACAAACTTATATTGTTCCTGGGGTACTACCGAAACTAACTGATCAATAGCTGCATTTAAAACTTCTATTCCTAGGGCTCTAGTAACTAGAGTAGTTCCTAAATAATGGACTTTAAGGACTTTTTTTGGTTCTTCCATAGGTGTTGGAAATGATTGACCTATAACATATTATTTACAATGAGCCAAACTATTTAAGCAAGCAAAATATTTAGAACGAATACTTACTTGTATAGGAACTCTGTGAATTGCTGTGAAGAAAACGTCGTTGCTCTGTTGGTAAATTGGTTGGGCGGGCTGCTATATTCCTACCACTAAGACAAGGTACACCATGAAAATTATGCACACCAGGTCCAACAGGTTTTGCTAGATTTTGTTGAAGGCTTCTTGCTATCATTATTTTTTTGCAGATATCTCGAAGAGTATTGGCAATGATACGTGCAGGGATATCACAGCGGAAGACATGGCACATATGCTTACGAGTTATACGATCACGAGCAACATATGCAAAGTCCCTAAAAATTTATTAAATTCAATAAAAAAAAATTTATAATTGACAAATGACAATGTCTTTTAAAAGAAATTAACTATGTAAATTATTTATCAGTAATATGTAAGCAACATGCAATAATTACAATAAATTATTACTTTTATATTATAAAATTATATTTTAAAATACTAAAAGTGCAAAATGTTAAATAAAAAAAATCACCGAAGGCAAATAAAATCATTTATTGTGTTTTAATGAAATTATAAAAGCTAATCACACAATTATTGTATTTTATATACAGTTAACTCCACATTGTAATGATAGATGTCATGTTATCAATCAGTTATTGTTATCAAAATTAATGCAAAATATATGTTAAAATACATTATAAAAATGTTTGCTTAATGTAATCATAATTATTAGGTTGTTTGGAAAGTAAGTTTGCTTTTTTTTTTACCATTAGACTGATTAGTCGAATTTTTCCTGCCATTTTCATTCTAAACCGTATTATCATTATATATTTTGAAAGCTAGCATTTTAAGGCTTATTTGTAAAAAATTTTATTTGATTCTGTGCAATTGTTTATTTTTTGTGTCCCATCAAATATGGAAGATCGAAAGCAGCATTTTCGGCATATTTTGCTTTTTTTATTACCAAAAAATCAAAATGCTGTTCAAGCAAGAAAAAAATTGTGCTACATGTATGGAGATGATGTGTTGAGAGAAAGACAGTGCCAAAACTGGTTTACAAAATTTCATTCTGGCAATTTTAATATCGAAGATGCACCATGTTCTGGATGGCCAGTTGAAACCAATGAAAACAAAATAAAGGTACTGATTGAAGCAAACTGCCGAATAACAAAACGTAAAATCACTAAGAGATTAAATTTGTTAAATTGAACCATTTATGATTACTTGAAATGAATTGGTTTTGTTTCAAAGCTTGATATATGGGTTCCACATCAAAGAGAGAGATGCTCTCTTTGGTGGGATTTTAAGGAAATTTTTTTTAGAACTTTTACCAGACAATTTAACAATTGATTCAAAAATGTAAAAAAAATTTAAATCGAGTAAACAAATTGAATAATATCATCAAACAGAAAAGGCAGCCAAAATTGATCAACAAAACAGGTGTAGTGTTTTACAAAATTGATTACAAAACAGGTCAAATTTCAATAAGAGGGACATAGTTGAATTTTTCACTTTCCAATAACTTTTTTTACAAATAATTGTATAACTAAAAATTACATATAATTTTTAGTAAATATCAAAATATAAATCATATATCCACCATGCAGAAAAAAAGAAAGATCAAGAACTTTTTTAGACTATTCATGACAAATATAATAGTAAGCTAAATTATCAGAATAGCTATTATTTTATTAACGAGGTATGTTATTTTACACACTTAATGTTATAAATATGATACACTTCTCATAGTAATAATGTAGTTAAATTTATTTAAATATATATATAAGAGTAGCAGATTTTACTGTTCATTATGTAAATTTCAATACAGTATAAAAATATAATGTTGGATTGTGCAACTATAGAGTTGAAGAGAAGATAAAATAAAAATATGAATTTAATGAGTAAGGCTTCCACAATTAATCTTTCTTAAATTGATAATATGTTAAAAATCTTTATGTAATTTATCTCATAACTTGCAATTTGACTTGTGTATTGTTTATATAATTTAAATTAGTCTGAATATCATAAATAATGGAATAAACTTAGTATAATATATATATATATATATATATATATGTTACTGTGAATGACCGATAACTGGTGAATGTCAACATTATCTGGTAAATGTCAGCATTCACACAGTTGTTTCGTGTATGTACAAAATATTTGCTAAATATCATTATTTCTCACTTACATTGGCAAATGTCGACATTCAGCATGCACTGATGGTGAATGTTGAATAAAAATATTTTTGTTACGTTAAGTCAAAAATGCAACTTTTTAATATGTCAAAATAGGAGAAAGCTTAAGTAATAGCACATGTAAATAAACTGTTGAACCTAAAACGAACAGTACATTCTTAATAAGAAAAGAAATTAATTCAATAATAAACTTACACATAAATTATGATTAACGTTATACAATCTTATTTATTGCAACAACTTAAACTGTTGTGACACTTTGAATTGCACAAGAGTCCCTTGTTTTTACAACTGCATTTATTCGTGGAACAGTTTTTTTGCAATGACAGCATGTATAGCCTTGCCCTCCACTTTTCGAATTAGCTGCAGCTGCTTCTCACAGCGATATTTCTTGAGAAGAAATCTCATGTAAGGAAAGTAACTTTTCTTTACAAATTACAAACTGATTATGTTATTACGTGATTACGAACTGATCTGTTAATAGTATTTTTTATTTGGATATCGCTGACACCCTACCGATGACCCTCTCATCCTCCGCCACTCGACCTGACAAACCAATCCCCACCTCATGGGATCAAAACAACAAAAACACTATCCAGTGACAAAGTGGGCAGTTTCTACCAAACCATTGCCGGGAAAAGAGGTACGACCTTGTCCTACCTCCGGCTACCCACAAAAAATTTGGTGACAGACTGTCGCCTCTCTGTTGACATTGGTTTCTCGTTTCGACCTCCACCAAAGCTTCTGTGCTTGTTGACAAACATCAGCAATTGTTCGAACGTATAATAATATAACCAAATATTTGGTCTTTCACCGACGTATTTTGTGTGTGTCAACACTCACCGGAGAATATCGAAATTCTCTAATTTCGGTCTTTCACAGTAACATATATATATATTATTTATTCCAGATTATTGGTTATTAAACTTTTTGAATATTGACTGTATTTCAAAAATATTTTATTAATGATTAAACTTTGTTAACATTATTTAATAATTAGATTAGATTTAGTAACTCTTTCCGCCTATTTTTTCAAATACTATTTTTATTAATAATTTTATTACTAATAAAAATACATGAATATAAATATATTTAAGGAATNTCATGCAGTTAAATAAAAGCATTGCCATGCTATTCCATGCATAAGCATCAATAAATATGCCTATGGTGAGAAATAATTTTACCTTTCCCTAAAGCCCGATTTTAATTGCATAAACTAGCATATCAAACTTGATTTTATTAAATTTTGATTTAAAAATTTTTTTCTTATTTTTAATGTATTCAGTTTCAAATGAACATTGAGAACAGACATGTACCATACTGAAAATAGTAATTTAAATAATATATTCAAGAAGAATAAAGGACACATTGTGAGTAATAATATTCAAATACCAGCCAAAGACGTGAGATCTAAGATGTGGAAAAGATTTGGTTTTTCACTTTTTACTTTGATTATGTTAACTCTAGCAATAAAGTTTCCTCTGAAGTAGAAATATCAATTCATAATATTGTGATTATCTAAATTTACATAGTTATATCAAAACTGTCTTTATATCAGTGTCTTTATTTAAAAAGTTATATCTAATACATATTCAATCAATTATCAAAATTAATTATCTGAAATATTGATTGTGTATTTAATTAAACCCTAAATATCAATTAAGTTTACTATTTCATTTCTGAAATTATCAATATCATTTAATTGATATTTAGGGTTTAAATAAAATTATTGCAAATTGATGATGAACAAATTGAAATTGCAAAATGGTAAGCATTTTCAATGTTATCTCTATTAATTTTCAATTAGTAACAAAATTATAATTATGAAAAAATTATTCTGAATTTTTCGATGTTTATTATTTTCATCAAAAATGCAAATTTCACAAAAAATCATTATGTACAAACTTGAATTAATATTGGAACATTCACAATTACTAAAATGTACAACCACATTGTAACATGCAAACTTTACAAAAAAATGTTTTTCATACTTTATTCCAGACCTACAGTATTAAAAATAAAACATGTCAAACCCTAAAATTCATTACCAACCACTACAGTTAACTAAACTATGAAATATGTCAAATGTTGTGATCAAATTTCTTTTTCTTTTTCAAAATTTTAGTTTGTTCTAAGAATTGGATAGTTACCAATTCAGTTAAAGTTCAAATAATATTTTTATAATCAAAGTTAACTTTATACTGAAGTTTCATTACAGTATTGTTCATTTAAGGAACATTTGATGCTAGAAAGAATTGAGTCTAGTTTTTAATTGATATTGAAATGTTTTTCAGAACTAAACATCCCATCATCAGAATCCAAACAAAAACTAACACACAAGTGTAGGAAGGGCATTCCAGTGGTTCCTTCTTTCAATCATTTGAAAAAATTTTGAACATTTTTTGAGCCTAATATGCTCATTTTCATCAGAAATGAATAAAAGTCCCTTGCCCTAGGACCTGTCAGGTGGCCTTTACAAGATCCCAATGTAAAATAACAAGGAGTCTATCTTTTACATTGACAGCACTTACTGCATTCTAAAAGTAAGACTTGCAGAACATAAGGAGATCTCAAGAAAGCAAAGACTTCCCAGCACAAGCAGAAGAGTTAATCCTAAACAAAAACTATGTTTCAGTTTGGAAAGATATGGAGATTGTAATTCTCACCACTAAAAATTTACCCATCAGAACAGTGGAAGAGCTGCTTATCACAATTATCTCAAACCTGGACAAAAAAAAAAGGTCAGATTCAAATTTGGATCTGTAGTGTGGATAATTAAATTGGTATCACACCAATAAGATTCTAGTCTATTGTGTCCTTTTTTTTATATTCATTCATTTATGTTATTTTGCATTATTTTATTTATTTATCATTCAAACTAATTGTACACATATTCATCTAGATGCAAACTTCTGCATTTGATGTGAATTGCTCATTCTTCTACTTCAAATTAATATTATTTGTTATGTCACAGTATTCCCAAACAAATGTTTAAAATTACAAATTTTCAAAAACTTTTAGAATGTGTTACTGACATTTAATAAATTTGTTATGATATGAAACTTCAAGAAACTTTGAATTTTTCAATCAAAACAGAACCATTGAAACACATTGCCTACACTTGTGTTCTTTTTTTGTATAGATTCTGATGATAGGTTGTTTAGCCCTGACGAGTATTTAAATCTCAATTAAAAATCAGACTGTTTAATCCCTTCTAGTGTCAAATACTCATTAGTTTCTCATGGAGTCATCTAATTTGTAACAAGTAAGAGCTTATTCATTTCAATTGTAAATTTAGAAAATCTCTTGTTTTAATTATCATATTTAAAATAGTAATAACTTTAAATTTAGATTTAAGAATTTGTTCTCAAACAACTAAGTTTTTTTTTAAATTTAATTTTTGATATTTTTCAGTATTGTTCATAATTATACAGTATTACAGCTTTATTATTTTACTTTCTTACAACACAATGTAACTAATGATATAACAACAACTTTTAAATTTTATATTTAAATAAAAATTTAAAGGATGAATTACAATTATCAATAAAAATATTTCATGCAGTTAAATAAAAGCATTGCCATGCTATTCCATGCATAAGCATCAATAAATATGCCTATGGTGAGAAATAATTTTACCTTTCCCTAAAGCCCGAGTCACCACACAGGTACACGGGATGAATGCAATAAACAAAAACGAGAAAAGTTTACAATATTAACTATATAGAATGAATTTTGTATAATTAATTAGTCAATTATATTATTAATATACTTTTGTCAATATTTAATATGTAAATAATACATAATAATACAATGATTAATTACAATTTTAGTATAATAGTAAACATTGTAAATAGACTAATAATAAATTACTGTGTTATTAATTTCACTACTTTCAACTAAAACTTGAAGGAATGTTATATCAATATTACTTTTTTTAAAATGGTCATCAAAAAATATTTTATGTTGACAATGAAACAAACAGAAATACTTTCAGTAGAGTAATAAGCTATGCAGTTAAGCAACTGGATTATTGAAAATTAAGAATAACTACAGAAACAAGATCTAAAATAAGCCTTTGTTAAGAATAAGTTTTTCCACTTATTGATAACTTCTATTGGATATGCATAAGTAATAGAAAGAGGCAAGCTCAATTGAAAGCTTAAATCTCGACTTTGTTTTTGTAATCAGTTTAAAACATATGAAAACTTTCCTGTTTTGAAAATACAGTAAGATCCCATTTAACGCTGATTTGATATAATGCGGTCTGCTTGAAGCCTTAAAAAAGCTCAAAATTTACGCTGATTTAAATTATTGTGGCATTTCATTGATTCATTTATAATAAGATTATTTGCAAACACAAACCAATCAGCAAAAGGGGGCAAAAAGGTGTATTTTCTTTAAATCTATGTTTGTTTGGTGCAATTTTGGAAAAAATATAACATCATGGATGTCATAGGAAATATCGACTTTGCTTGGCAAGAATTAACTGATAAATGCATGAACAAAGTGTGGAAGAAGTTATGACTGAAGGTATCCAAGAATTCTCAACGAGAAGAGCCTATATCTGTATCGTTAGGTTGACTAAAATGTCAACCTAATCAATACAGCAGGACTAGGAGATGTAGACAATCAGGATATTGAGGAGTTACAGCAGGTTTCTGGTGAAAGCCTTACCAATGATGACCTTCAAGAACTGGCAGAACATGGAATTCATGTGGAACTGGAAAACAGAGATTCTGAAAACGAGCAACACAAAAAATTTCTGTACAGATTTCCTTAGTAAAAGTTTGGTAACGATAACCGAAATCGTTGATCAAACTGTAGTGAATGATCCAGATTTTGAAAAAAGTACAAAAGCAAAAAGCGGCATTTTGAATGTGATCTTCTGCTACTGACATTTGCTTAAGGAAAGAAAAAAAAGTGACAAATGAAACTTTATGACTTTATTGCAAAAGAACAAGAAGAATTTCACAAAAGTCAAGACCTTTATCACAAAAAATGAACTTTACATTTCTGTGCATATGTTTGTGTGTTATTTAACTTATATTATTATACAAATTAAAATAAAAATAACTTAAAGTAAAATTTGTTTATTTTTGGTTGCGTGTTCCCCTATCCCTATTTACCTATTTACTCTATGTTAAAATCAGGGCTGTGGAGTCGGAGTCGTGGAGTTTTGATGTTTTAGCAGGAGTCGGAGTCGGAGTCGTCAAAAAATCCGCCAACTCCGACTCCTATTTACTTGCCAGCTTGTTATGTATATAAAACGGAAAAGTATTGGAATCGTGTCAAATTTGACCCTCCAAGTTTTTTATTTTTTTTTATTTTTTTGCAAATCCACACGTTTGGAGACCTCCCGAACCCCCTCAAAAAAGTCAATAAAGGGGAAAAATTCGCGCGCGCGTGTGTGTTGGTGTCTAATTTGTTTAATTTCTTTATTTTCTGTTCTGAGATATTAAACAATATCTCAGAACGGGTAAAGTTTAAGAAACGAAATGTGGCACTGTGGCTTGCATATAAAGGGGCATTAATACTATTAAATTTTGGTTCTTAATTAAAGGTGGACAGGGTGAACACATAAAAGTGGCCATGTGTCATATCTCTTAATGAATATTTTACTCGTTTTTAGCGTTCAAAATTTAAAAAAAATAAAATAAAACTCGTCTTTACCCTCAAAGTAAGCTTTTTTGTCATTTTATAATAGTACAGTAAAACCCGTTAAGATGTTGTCGCTTAAGATGTTAGAATGTATATGGGGACACAATTTAGTTCAACCACTTTGACTTAAATAACTAACTCCTGTGTTAAACCATCCGACTCGTATTCTGACCACTCTGACCACAGAAATTATTAGGCTTCAAACAGGGTGAACGAAATCATGTCCCTTCGCACACAGTCTAACATCCACACATATAGAAAAAAACCTCGAATCTTTTGCATATCTCAAAATTTCAAGGTGTCCCGAGTCCAAAAATGTAAAAATTTGGGAGGGGTCATTTTTTGACCGAGCGCTACACTTTTCCTCTGTTATACAGGCCTATAACAGCCAGAAAAGTAAAAACTATCGAATAAATATTTATATATTACTTAGAGAAGTCTTTTAGCTTTGGAATAAAAAGTTTCTACGCTCTATCTTTATTACAACTCTATTTATTGAATATTTTATTCTGATGTCACGTGATGACATCAGAATTTCCGGGTCTCTTTCGGTAACAAGTCTGCCACTAGTCAGAGTCGGAGTCGGAGTCAGTTGGTAAAAAACAGTTGGAGTCGGAGTCGGTAGATTTTTACGCGACTCCACAGCCCTGGTTAAAATGATCTCATTTAACACTGTTTCACTTAGCGCTTTGTTGTCTAGGAATGCATCCCCCACGTTAATCAGGGTCTTACTGTAGTTCATATAAGCTCTCTTATAGGATATGAAAACTTAGGAGAGATGAAATTAACTGTAAGATTTAAGTGCTGTGACTAACCAAATGGATGACTAATGTTCTGATAGACTGAAAAGAGATCTAAATATAATAATTACATCTTTGGAACTATAACATTAGTATATCTTTCATATTTTTGATTTTTGAAAACATACCTTCAAAGAAGAATTTTTGCAAAAATGTGTTTAGAATGCATAATTTTAAAGAACACCAATGTTCAATCGATGAAAGTGGAGATTAGATATGGAATATCTAGTCTCGACTTTCATCTATCTAACTCTGTTCTCTCTGTTCTTGAGATTAAGAAAAGACAGATAGATGGATGACAGTGAGAATTTATAGATCTAAAATTTTTTCAAATTGCAACTCAATAATTTTCAGAAATAAAATAATTTAGAAAGATGGATAAAGGTTAAAAATAGATGTGATGCAATTTCATTGAACACTACTATACTATCAACAAGGTAAATTCATATTTAAACATATATATAAATGTATCAGTTTTCTATCTATCTTTTTACAGTAAATCTTATATAATTTTAACTTAAATTGTGATCTAACAGTAATTTCATATATCAAATGATACTGACTTCAATAAAATATTTTGATAATGTAGAATGTTCCAGAGTTTTATGTTTGTAACACAAAAATTTCTAGCTTTAAAAATGATAAAACACATCACAATTATTATTAATTCATTATTTTTATAAATTAGGGAGGAACAAAATTAATTTATAGAAGTCAAACAGATTTATTGTATTAAACATTTTTCAAAGTTATTCTATCCCACTTTCAAATTAAATTACAAAATTAGAAAGATTGAACTTTTATTTAAATTCCATGTCTTTAGATCAGGGATATCCAACCTTTTTGTTCCTCCGGGCCACATTGGAAGAAGTCATGGAGTTTTGGGCCACAAGCATATATAATATATTTGTGACCCAATCCTAAAATATACTTGTATATTTAAGGATTAACATGTCTAGATTATAGTAATAAGTATTAAAACTTTATCACGAAAAAGGATATTTTAAAAAATTACTTCTACAGACTTCCAATTTTTACTTAGAAATAAATAAATTCATTTATTATAAAGGAGACAAACAAAAATTTACTTGAAAAACACAAATATTTGTTTTATTTGGGTCTCTAATTAATAAAAAACGACAAAACACCATTTTAAAGTGCATTTTCATTTGACTAATATTATAAATAATATGTAGCTCAGAAAGTAACCAATACACAAAATGATAATTTTTACACCAAACTAAAAAAGGGTAGCCAAATTTGGCGCAAAGTAGCCAAATCTTGCAACGCTGGAAAGAATACTAAATAATGCTGGAGTTGGAACTCAAAGGATTATAGATCCAAATTTGAGAAAAGGAGAGAAAGAACAAAAGATAAAAAGTAGTGAGGAAGGTTGGAAAATTAAGGGTCAATATTTGTATAACAGAAGGTCTATTTAACCTTTCTCAATACTTTTTATCTTTTGGCCTTTCTCTCCTTTTCTCAAATTTGGGTGTATAATCCTTTGAGTTACAACTTCAGCTTTATTTAGTATTCCTTCGTTGAGTATTTGAAAGTATTTCCTTTTCACTCAAAAATAAAATATGTATAAAAGTTTACAGCTTTGTGAAACTTCTTTTTTGAGTTTATGCTGTTAAAATAAATAAATAAACAAAAAATAAAACAATTTGTCAGTTTTGTTTACACATTTATTGGGCCGCATGCGGCCCGCGGGTTGGACACCCATGCTCTAGATCATTATAGTTTAAAAATTTGTAATCTTCACAATAGTTCTAATTGTGTAATTTTATCTGAAGATGGATTTGTTTGTTTTGTTAAGTTATGGCAATGCAACACTTGGGCAATCTGCCTAGAGGGAATGCCTTCTGGGAGGTCTTTTTAGGGTAACAGACTGTCTGTAATTCAGGAATTACAGATGTGGAGAAAATCTGGAAAACTCTACGTGGCCAGCCCATCCTGGCGAGATGTGAACCCAAGACTGAACTCCCAGTGTTCAGGGAACGAAACCACTTGGCCACTGGTGGGCCCAATTTGAAGATGGTATGGAAAAACTTCAAAAAACTATTTGATTTCTTAACGTATAAGCATATCTTGTTCCTTCCTGATTTAGTCATAATAAAATTGCATATTTCTAAAACAACATTACTTTATTTTTGTGACAAACAATTTCCTTTACTTTAATATTAATATACATTCCTTCAAATAGAATATTGGTAAAATATTAAAATTATTTTAAAATCATTAATATTGTTCATAATTACTTTAACTTAACTTTAATTCTTATTTGTTTACTTTCTACCAAAAATAAGACTTTTATGCAAAATATAACCAGAGCAAAGATCAGTTATATAATATTCTATAAATGTATTTGGATTATTAATGTTTAAAATTATTACTATTAATTAAAATTTACTCTTTGTAAAATAGTTATTCTATTTGATGATATATTTTACAAATACTGATTAATGTAGTGAATAGATTTATAGTCACACAAACACATTTAAGTAGGGGGCATCATTACAGCCGACCAAATTTGAACTATTATTTTAACCAACTACATACAATTTGAAGTTTGACTACAGGTGCTCCCCTATTTACAAACAGATTAAGTTCCTGACGTTTTGTTGTAAGTTGAAAACTAAGCTAGAAAGTACATTTATATACAGAATAACCACTTATTGTTAGTGTTTGATCCTTCAATGTAAAATAACAAACACACTAACCTTATGTTTCTTCCAGTAGAATGGTGAAAAATTAACACAAATGTGAAAAAATTGACACAAAACAAATCTCATTATTAACATATGATGCAGCATGAATCATTATACAGATTATCTGTACAAGAAAAATTATAAGTTTTGATTTAGCTAAAACCAAGCTATATTAGAATTATCAGATTTCATTATTGAGTAATTTTTAAGCCAAACAGAAAGCTATTATTTCTAATAAATGCATGTTTAGAAATAAATAGCTTTCGGGAGACTATCCGATTTTGCAAACAAGTGATTTAATTGTTGTTTTATTATTTTCTTAGAAGGGAAATTTGCATGTGTGGTGCGATTGATTCACCATTGGGTGATCCTTGTTTGCACTTTTTGTCAAAATTACACGAGGAAACTTTTGGTGTTATTTGTTTTTCGTTTGATGGCTTTAAAAAAGTAATATCTGATTGCAATTTGTTTTTTAAGGTTTATACTAATAATACTGTTAATAATTTAAGGTAATTTGTGCCCAGGCCATGGTTTATCTGTTATTTAACCATCAGTTGCTCTGGATACTTGGGAGAATATCTGATTTTGTGAACAAGTGATTTATTTGTTGTTTTATTATTTTCTAGATAAGGTTTAGCCTAGTCTGTTGGTTATCAATTTATTTTAATTTTATTTTGTTTTGGATAGTTCTCCCATGTAAATTTAAGTTTAGAATGTAGATATTTAATTGTTTGATTATTATTTTATTAATGTTGTTGCATATATTTGTGGGATATGTTGTATAATTTTGTATGATTTTTGTATATTTGTTTTGCTTTTTATTCTTCTCCTCGCATCATAGTTTTGTACCAATATGCTTAGATAAATAAATAAAAATAAAATAAATAGCTTTCTAGTAAGATGTCGCTAATCTGAAACTGTAGTCTGAAATCTGAACAAAATAATATGGGTGACATCTGAACAAAATTCTATCACAGAAAGCTACAACTTTTGTAAATAAGTAATATAAAACCTTTGACATTTTTTCTAGCAATTTTTTTAATTGAACTAGTGTTTTCGACAATATATTTCAAACCTGAAGAAGGCCATTAAATATAGCTGAAAAGGTTAGTTTGATTAAAAAAATTGCTAGAAAAAGTGTCAAAGGTTTTATATTACTTGTCATGCTTAATTTGTGCAGCCCAGAATACATGGTGTGTACAAAACTGTTATCAGAATACAAAATAAAGGATACTCTTCTCCTATATGGTCATATGCTTATTCAAAGAAAGCAATTGAAAACTAACAAACATAAATCAAATTTATCAGCCTTGAATAAACTGCACAATTTCAATCATCTTGACATAATAAAACAAGTCCATCTAACTGCATTATACTGAGAAACTCATATTAACAAAATAAATAAATAAAATAAACAATACATTGAAAAAAATTTCAGATAATCCAAAAACATTTGCTAAACCAAGCATATTTGGGCCCAAATTAGTTTGAGTTAGTAAGGTTCTACTATAACTTTCTATTTAGTTTAAAAACAGTTTAATAATGAAATCCATCATGAGGAAAAAATCAACTTTATTCAACAAACATATTTAATTAAACAAAAGATTATAAAACTTGATACTATTGTAAGTAAATAAATGCTGTTAGTTTCAGGAACTAACAAAATTTATATTTTTTTGTTTAATTAAATATCTTTTTTGTATGCAATCTGAAAGATAAACTGTTAAACAGGTTAAAAATACTTGCTTACTTAAATATTTTTTACTGAATTAAAAATATGCTTTTTTCTCAAACTGATATTTATCCCATTTTGAACTACTATCATTTAGCATTATCCATATTTTTAATTCTATGACTGTAAAAGTAATATTTTAATCATATGTTCATTGATAAATTGACATTACTTCCAAGAATCTCTTTTTCACAAAATAATCTGAGAATATGTCATCAGAACTCTCTTAAATTCTATTAGCATCTGTATTTTCAAACTATTACATTACATCCATTCTGATAGAACAGTTTTTGACAGTATGTTCAATGTGACAGTCATGCCACATACTCATCAATGAAATACACTGCATCATCATTTTCTTTATATATCTTATGTATCCTATGCAAAAATCTTTTATATTTTGTATTATAACATAACATAACATAACTATAGATTTATTTTTATTACATATACTAATTACCGTGTACTAATATCCTACATTAACAATTATGTATTCCCATGTTGTATGCTGACTATGAAGTTGAATGTAGTATGCAACTATTTACAGTATATGATAATGCTTATGTATTTTATTCTCATCATTCATCATGTTATATTATTTTTTGTTAGTTACTTTTGAAATTATAATTCTTCATAAAATTTTATTCTAATGTTTTGAGAAATATTCTAATTTTTAAACATATTTTATATATATTTTAAAAATATTTCTTGCTTTTTATTTGCATCTGTAGAGAACATAAGAAAAACAGTTTAATTATAACTATCAATATTTAATAAACTATACTACTTTTAAGCAATTATGATAAAATTATTGTATTGTCTAAGATTACAGAACATCAAATTAAACTTTAAAAAAAAATTGAAAACAATTTTTGTGAAAAAATATTTTTTCTGACTTCAATTTGATATATTTGCACTTTTTATATTACAAGATTTTAATATTTTTAAGATGTTTTATGATTTTGCAACATCTCATTAAAGACTTCTTAACAAAAACCATTATTGATTCTGTTCAGTAGAATAAAATAATTTTAAAGGAAAGCTAAGTTTTTAAATTACACAGTCTTATTTTGTTATTTTAATGTTTTAAATGTTTATATCCCTAAAAATGAATGAACAACTAAATTTAACTTGTGCTTTTTATTTTTATATAATTACCCAGTGAGTGATTTTGTGATTGGATATCCAAGCTTATAAGGTTATATTTACAAGCAATACATATATGATGTTATATTTATAAAAACTGATTTTCATTAAAAAGTGGAAAAGAATATTGTAAACCAATGTTTTAAAAAATCTTTTCAGTTATTCATCTATGTTATTGTATAAGTGTCTTATACAATAAAGCAATAATATTAAACAAGCAATTATTTTAGTGTGACATCATCACAATGTTCGGCTGCAATTTTTAATTTATTTAATTTAAAATATATGTTTTCCATCTTAAATTAGTACTGTCTTGCTCCTCTACATCATATGTTTCCTGTTAAGAATAGAGTCATGCCAGTCATCTATCTAACTCCTTTTAGGGAAAAATTTTTGAATTAAAATAACATGACTTCCAGTAAAAACTGGAAATTTTTATATAGTTAATCGGAACCTCCTGCCCCTAATCAATCCCTACCTCGTCTCAATTTTTGTCTATCCAATTCTGTTCTTGAGATTAAAAAAGGACAAGCAGTCAGACTAATGACAGTGGGAATTTATAGGTCTACATTTTTTTCAAATTGCAGCCCAATAAATTATGATTTCTTTCATTAAATATCAATTTTCTGCAATTTAATATTGATCACAAATTATTATATATAATCCTTATGATAACTGTCAATAACAGTTTCACCCTCCCCTTTACCAAACTTTAATTTTTATTTTTTTAACCAATTTCTTTATATTTTACATAAAAATAAAAACATTTATGATTCTATATTCCATTCCAGTGAATCTCAAAACAAATACAGTTGCGTATTAATTCTGCTGAAATGAGGAAAGTAATCTCTTGTTGGAGCTAAAACAAAAACTTTCTAGAAATTAAAATTTGAAATGATTAATAAATTTAAAAATTTCTGTTCAAGAAACAAAAACAAAATGGAGTATACATACATACATACATATACATCTATCTACTAGAGGTCTATTAAATATATTTAATGTATAGAGTGTGTTTACATAAATAAAAAAATACAATATAAATTATGAATTATGTAATTTATAAAAAGTATTCACATAAACATTAAAAAAACATTATTGAAATCCTCACCTGCCATTATCTCGTCCAACTCCCCAAACTCTGATCGTATGGATTGGCTGGGTGTTTAGGACAGTCAGGTCTTGTGGGTCCGTCAGCCTCAGGCAATAGTCATCCAGATCCATGTACAAGTCCTTTCCCTGCCACATGGCACATGTCTGAGGGTCAGAAGAAACGATGCTCTCTCTTGTGTACTGCAGTACAAAGTCACTTGATGCCACAACATTGACCAAACAGAAGTGTAATTTTCTCTCCCCCCAATTTAAATATTTAATAAATATTTTATTGATTTGAATTACACTTTCTGTTTCTTTTTAGGATTCTATTTTCACAATTCATCCAATTAATATTTGCTTTTTTTTCCTCCCTCTTTTTTTTTTTATTTTTTCTGGTCAATGATGCCCGAAAATAAGAAGTAATCAAAAAAGATACTTACATCGCCCCATCTTCCAACAACATCCAGAATATCATTGCGACCCAAAGAAAGATCAACAATACATTTGTTAACTGCTTTACTACTTCGTTCAGAAGTCAAATCTTCTTCTGCTATTTCAACCCAACCCATTGACCTTACAGCAAACCGTATTGGCTTCTATAGTAAAAAATATAAAAATTATAGTTTTTTATAAATTTATTATAAAATATTTTTGAGTTTAATTTGCCAAATTTTTTCCATTTAGTCAATTATTAAAACAAATTTGATTCAAGTGGATAGCAAATAGCATTGAATAATCAGTGTCAAGTCCATGCCCGGTAAGTTAATTTAAGGATTTATAATATTCAATTACAAAGTAAATATCAGATTCTGTCATTTTTAAGATCATCACTATCTGTGTATTGAAAGAAAAATAAAAGAAACTTTTCCATCTTTGTCTCTGTACTTTGAAATTTAATTATGTACATCATTTGACAGAATTTACAGAAACAGTAGAGAAATAATGTATGGTATTTTCTAAAACAACACCTTCCACTCCTGAGATGTATCTGCATGCAATTTTTTTTATTCCAGCCAAAATAGTTATTAGCCAAGTTGCTTTGATGAAGTATTAGTTAGTGTACAGCTGTTAAAAAGACTGTAGTCCTAACTACATGGGTGCTTCAAAAAGTTCATGGAAAAAATCTGTAACTAAAAATTGTTTGGAAGGATTTTGATTTTAATGCTCCTGAACATTCTTGTATTAATGTGTTATAACATGTTCAAACATAAACCCTTAAATGCATGTGAGGTTTGCCATTTGGGGAAAAAGTGTCATGACAATCGAGCGGTCAGCACTATCGTATGGGAGTGGAAAAACTTATTGAGACAAGTCCTCCCTCGCAAACAGTTTATTAAATATAAAAATTTCGCTTACAACTACTGTTTTACTTCAGCGTAAGGCCTATCCGAAGAGTGAATCAGTTTGCAAATAAAGTTCAATTGTTTCGATGATCTTCTCTTCTTCTGGCGAAGATGATGAAGAAAACATAGGCTCCGGGGTGCACAGCACAACTTGAAGGGGTGATTCTTGTAGCGGGTTACACTTGGTTAAATTTGCTGGGACAGGATGGCAAAAACTTCTTCTGGAACGTCGACCAAGTTTCCGTTGTTGAACCGCAGGAAAAATCCAGGAGCGGAGCACACCAAACTAAGAACCAAGAATGTCACATCCTTTTTTTGCGTGGTTTTTATAAGTTTTCTCTGGGTCCCAGATCAAACATTCCGATAGGTTGATGTCGACTTGCCCCCGCTCTCTTTGGTCCCCTCCTCGTTATGAATTGTAATGAGATTGGAATCCAGATCATGGGATGAGTCAATACCAACTGACAATTTGATTCCTATTGAAAATGTTCGATCTAAGCACTCAAATTCATCTATTGTTTTGTTCTGAGTAATTCGTTTTTTCTTAGAAATTTCTACAAATGTCTTTATATGGACATAAAATATTCATTTTACGTTTGATAGTTTCTTTTTACAATATTATAAGAATTATTATGATAATTTCCTTTTATACAAAATTTAGAAAAATTTTCTTTTTTTTACACAAATTCTAGGCCCACTTCCGAAGCTTCACATGCAGGTAAGAACACAGCACTGCCAGTTGAAAGTCAGGCATCATTCAAGCAACGTTGAATCCAACAAAATCGAGAACAGAACAAACAAAGTTCATGGTGAAACTTGGTTGGAAGAATAAGCAAATCATTGATGCTCTGGAACAAGTTTATGGTGATAATGCCCCAAAGAAGTCAACAACCTACAAATGGATAAGTCACTTCAGAAGTGGAAAAACCAAGGTTGAAGATGAGCCCCGCAGTGGCAGGCCAACGTCAGTTTGTGAGGAAAACATTGATGTTGTTCGTGACTTGATAAAAAAGGATAGACGAATAACCACTGAATCGGTAGCAGATACACTCAACATTTCTGTGGGTTCTGCACACAAAATTCTTATAGAGAGTTTGGAACTAAGCAAGCTTTCCGCTAGATGGGTTCCAAGGCTGTTGTGCCCAGATCAGCAGCAAATGAGGGCAGATCTTTCAATGGAAATTTTGAACAAATGGGGTGGTGACTCTGAAGCTTTTCTGCAAAGAATTGTGACAGGGGATGAAATATGGCTCTACCAGTATGATCCTGAGGACAAAATTCAATCAAAGCAGTGGCTGCCCCGGGGTGGAAGTGGACCAATCAAAGCAAAATCTGAATGTTCAAGAGGAAAGGCCACTGTCTTCTGGGATGCAGAGGGGATTTTGCTAGTTGACTTCCTCGAGAACAAGAAGACAATTACATCTGCTTATTATGAAGGCATTTTGAGAAAATTGTCCAAAAGAATCTCGGAAATAATGCCCTGGAAAGCTGCATAAACGCGTCCTCTTCCACCATGACAATGCACCCGCTCACAGTGCTTGGCAAACAAGAGCTGTGCTATGTGAATTTCGATGGGAAATCATCTGACAACCCCCTTACAGCCATGATTTAGCCCCATCTGACTTCTTTTTGTTTCCAAAGTTGAAAAAATCATTGATAGGTAGCAATTTTCCATCAGTTAAAGATGTAAAGAGAGCTGCACTGACATGGTTCAGATCACAAGACCCTCAGTTCTACTCAGAAAGACTTAAAGACTGGTATCAATGTTTGCAGAAGTGTATCGACCTTAACGGAGCATATGTTGAAAAATAAACATCATAACTGAAATAGTTTTTTCATACTACCTTTTTCCACAAACTTTTTGAACCCTCCTTGTATTTTACAATCATTAGAAGGCGGGAATAGTTGAAGTGTATGAAAACAAAATTATTTACTGCTTTCGAAAGCTCTTGTTAAATGAGTCATTTTGTTCTTTTGTGTAACTTAACAATATAAGTGAATTGTTTTTTGAAAATACTAAAGCTAAACTAAGTTATTCTTCTGTTAGCCACTAGCTGACTGCAAAAGCAGAAGGCTAATAAATTGTTATTAATTAACTAAAAGAATATCTTTATATGTCACATAATATTATATAATGAAAATAATGAAATCTGTGAAATAAATCCTTTTTCTATAATGTTGTTGTTTATATTAGCTTATATACTGGTAATAATAATCAGACAAATTTTTAAAGCTCAGATGATGACTTCAAAAACCCAGTATTACTGGTATTGTAGCTAATACAAATTTGGAGCAGAAGGGATTAAGCATTTTAAAGAAGTTCAAATAGTTTTAGTAGACCACTTTTATCATCATGACAGTATATAGCAGACACGGGCAAATGTGGCTCCGAGAACTGCATGCGGCTCGTGCTGAAAGTGTTAATTTCTGCTTTTTGTTATTATTTTTACAATTTTATTTCCACAATTTTGTGAAAATATGTTTATTAAAAAATTCCATATTTGTTATAAAACAAATATCGAATTTTTATATTTATATTTGTTATTTATTTTTACATTATTTATATTTATTATATTATATTATATAATAAAATCTGGTACAGAACTATGGTACAGGATAAAAAAGTACAGAACTGCAGCTCCCATGCATTTTGCAAAACCTACATTTTGGCTCTCACTGAATGCTTGCTTGCCTACCCCTGGTATAAAGCATATATGAAGTGATTATATTTATTTTTTATTCTATATTTCAAATTACAAGTCTGATTATGAAAATAATTCAGTGCACTCAAATAAACAATTATCCAAGTAACAGAAAGCATAACTTATGAATAAAAATATTTGATATACAGGTATCCCTCAATTTACACTGATTCACAATAACACCGCTGCGCAATTAGCTGTTTCGTGGTGTAATTCAACGATTTTCCCTATGCTGGATTGATTTTCATTTCAGTGTTGACATATTGGGTTGGTAACTAAGTGATTGCGGATTTTGTCAATATGTGGCCTTAGCACATTTTTTTGCTTTGTCATCGTGTTCAAAGCATTTAACCTATATTGTTTTCTTGTTGTTTGGACTTCCACCTTTAATTTAGTAAAAAAATTGTATCGATTAGTTATTTAGTTTCGTTTTTATCCCAATTTAAAAATGGAAGAACAAGACACGCATTTCAGACATTTTATTGTATTATTTCCGAAAAGGCAAGAACGCATCACAAGCACACAAGAAGTTATGTACCGTATATGGGAATGAAGCCTTGAATGAAAGGCAGTGTCAAAATTGGTTGCCAAATTTCATTCTGGTGATTTTTCACTGAAAAATGCTCAACGATCTGGTCGTCCAGTTGAAGTTGATGAGACCCATATCAAGGCCATTATCGATTCAGATTGTCATAGCACAACGTGTGAGATTGCACAGAAGCTCAATGTATCGCATACATGCATTCAAAAAAGATTAAAACAGCTTGGCTATGTCAAGAAACTGGATTTATGGGTCCCTCATCAGCTTAAGGAAATTCATTTGACACAACACATTAGCATTTGCAATTCGCTTCTGAAATGCAACGAAATTGATCCATTTCTGAAACGACTGATTACTGGCGACGAAAAGTGGATAGTATATAACAATGTTAATCAGAAAATATCGTGGGTGATGCAAGATGAACCAGACCAGACGACACCAAAAACTGAAATTCACCAGAAAAAGATTATGCTGTCAGTTTGGTGGTATTATAAAGGAATTCTGTACTTTGAACTTTTACCAAGAAACCAAACGATTAATACAAACATCTACGTTCAACAACTTGCCAAATTGAGCGATGCAGTTCAAGAAAAGCAGCCAGAATTGGCAAATTGTAAGGGTATTGTTTTCCAGCATGATAATGCAAAGCCCCACACATCTTTGGTCACTCACCAAAAATTATTGCAGCTAGGTTGGGATGTGTTGTCACATCCACCATATAGCCCTGACCTTGCGCCTTCAGATTACCATTTATTTCGTTCCATGCAGAACTCCTTAAATGGTAAAATTTTTAATGACGCTGATGATGTAAAATCACATTAATTCAGTTTTTTGCTGGCAAAAATCAGAAGTTTTATAAACATGGAATTATGACACTGCCTGAAAGATGGCAAAAGGTCATTGACAAAAACGGACAATACCTAATTGAATAAAGTTGTATTTTTAAGCAAAAACTTTGAATTTTCCTTCTTATTTAAAATCCACAATCACTTAGTTGCCAACCCAATATTTACCGAGCTGCAACATTGTACATTCATTAAAACAAAGATTTTTATTGAATATATTTAGTTTTTTCTGTTTATTATTATTGAGTACGTATACATTTGCATTAACTTAATATTAAAATACTAAATGTTTAGGTACCCACGAGTCAAGTTATTAAACTTAATAGTCCAATAAATCATGTCCGAATCCATAGTGCCAATGAATGTATCCCATATCAGATCATTCAGGAAAACACCTTATGATGCAGTAGCACTTTCGGCAATCACAAACTATCGTTAGTGAGATAAATCTACTTCTCATTGGCCAGACAATACTTTTTTATTGGCCAGACGATATCTATCTCTCCTTAGCCACCTTGAATTTTCCCGCTCAAACCAACCTTATATATGTGCTATGGCAACTGGTGGTCGACCAATCAGTGTCTCCGCTCATCTATGGCTCTATGTTGGGTTAACGTATCCTTTCAACTATGGAAAGTTTGACGGATGAACTTTGTGAGTTAGACAATGATTAAGAGTGAAGTGCAAATATAAAAAGGAGCATCATCGCATCCATTGGACCATATTCTGAAATTCTTAATGAAAGAAAACAAAAATGTAAACGATTAAAGATGGATCCTTTTTTCTGAAAAATGTACGAGATTTGAAACTAAAATTTTTAAATAAAAACATTTCAACTTTATTTTATGTTTATGATATAAATTTAATTTTTAAAATGTATTTTATGTATTTTGTATTATATTGTATTAATAAACAAAATTATTTGCTTATTTTTCACTTATGTAGAACCTAACCCTATACCTCACTGTAAATATTGGTTCATTTTATGCCGATTCGATTTGCGCCAGCTTTTGTAGGAATGGAACTGTGACATAAACCGAGGGCTACCTGTACTGATACTGTTAGTAAATTTCAGAAAGATACGTAATTTTGTTTGTAATTTTCATACTGTATTTGAAGAATGTAGCTTTTTCAAACTATATTTTTCCAAATCCATCCAACATTCAATTAAACTTAATCTTATGAGTGAAAATTTGATTCATCAGAAAAATTAATTACAACAATCTTTTATTGTAACAACTGTTGATTAAAACAATTAATCAACAGCTGTTGTAATAAAAAATTCTACAATGTTGTTTACATTTGAATGCATCTTGCAGATAAAGTGAGATGTTATTTTTCCAATGAAACAAAATTTTTGTATTTACCAACGTATTTACTCATTAAAAAATTTAATATTTACCTTATCTGGAGTTAAACTGCAAGTACCTTCCTGAGAATTCCTAAATGATAAAAAAAATTAATCATCATAAATTTTAAAAATGTTAAAGTAGATATGAAAATCATACTTCATATTAGATTCTATGTTATGTTCATTGTTGCACATAGACAGTTCAGAAGAATCAGATGATGATGACGATGAGATACTAGAGGACTTTGATGAAGGCATACTATTTATCTTTAAAAAAAACGAAACAAATTTTTTATTTCACATATAAAAATAATAAGATTAATAACTGGACAACTAAAATATGGGGTAATTACAAAAGAATACCCGACTATGAAAGGTTATATCTCCACAACCAAACAAGTTATAGCACCATTTCACGAATCATTGTGTAGGAAGCATTCTGAAGTTTCAGTTGTTTGTGGAGAGATGTTGCTATGAGCACCCTTAATCATGCTAAAAGTATATGTTGTCAGTTCGTGCCAAAATGGCAACCATACAACAGAAGGCATTCTGTGTTATTGAGTTTGCTAAAACTGAATTGGTTATGACTGTTTCAACATGCATTTCAAATAACTGAAACTTCAGAATGTTTCCTACACAATGATTTGTGAAATGGCACTATAACTTGTTTGGTTGCAGAAATGTAATTTTTTAAAGTTGAGGTATTCTTTTGTAATCACTCTGTATATTTTGAATGTTATATATTCACCGAATCAACATCTCTTATTAATTGCTTGGAATTCAATTTTTGACCAGGTTGAAATTGTGGTGGTTCCCTTTGTATTGTTCCACTGCTAATATGCCAATAATATGGGCCATCTGCATCTAAAATATAAGATTTATTTTAGTTTTAGATAAAAATAAATATTAGTATAAGTAAATATAATAATTAGATATAAATTAGTTTTCAGTAACAAAACATATTTATTAGCATTTTCATAATTAAAAAAGGCATTCTTAGGATTGAGATAAGAAAGGAATCACAAATACTATATTAAACATGTTAGTTCTATTTATAAAATGCTTATGAATATTTAAATAAAGATGTTTTAATCAAAAACCATCCTGAGTTTTTAATATATAAGATGTTATTACATCATGTTAACTCTACATTAATTCTTACATGTTGATATCAAGATTTATTCTACAATGAAAATTTAGTATTAAAAAGTTTTTTGTAATTTATATACTAATATAGGCTTATATCATTCTATAATAAAAAATAATGTGAAATTTAGAGAGACAATATTAAACCTAGTCTTTAAAATAGCATTATAAAATACATTTTTAATCAATTTAAGTAATAAATCAAGATTTTGGATCAAAGCCAAAAAACTTACAAATTTGATAATATAAAACTTTTATAGAATTTTTACTTACCTTCATGTCTTTCCCATCCTGAAGGGAGTGCCTCATCTGCCCTTAATTCTTCTAAAGAAAATTCTTTCTCACAAGAATTTTCCAATTCACTATCTAAATTAGATACATCATTTTTGTGATTATTTTCCTGGCATTTCTGTGATTTTCTTTTTACAGGCACAGCGTAAATATCATCGTTAAGTTCTCCATGTACATGAGGAATATCACCAGAATTTTCTTTCTCTGAATCATTAAAATTTTCTATAGAAGAAGTTTTACATATCCTGCATTTTATAAAACAATAAAAAGTAAATTTAGTGTAAACATATTATATAAATATAAAAATAATATGGCAATGTCAAGTTAAAAAAGTCATATTTATTAAAGTTTTAATATTTTTGCAGCATTGTGAATAGCATAAAAACATTTAAGAAACATCATGATTCTAAAAAGTCTTTATTTAAAAATTTATAAAATTGCTTTTTATAAAATCTTATATCTCTAAATAATATTTATTTTACATAGTTTTATTTATCTGTGAAAAAATATTTTCAAGACTTTTTACTTTTGATATCACTAAGTTTTTTGATGAATTTAAATGTTTCTAAATTTTGAACAGGTTGATTATTTTAATTTAAATTAAATCATTGTCAAAAATGTGGATGTTTATTATTTTATTCTAAATACCAAATTAATTTGTTTATTGGGAAATAATTAGTAAGAATGTTACATAAAAGTTGCTAGAATGTATGTCTTTCATAATACTTATAAGAATTAATACTTATATTTACTATTTAAAACTAATAATCTTAACCTGAATAGTGCTAATATGTTCACATTACTATAACATCAATACCTGAAAACACATTTTGTTTCAATATTGCAAGNAAAATAATGTGAAATTTAGAGAGACAATATTAAACCTAGTCTTTAAAATAGCATTATAAAATACATTTTTAATCAATTTAAGTAATAAATCAAGATTTTGGATCAAAGCCAAAAAACTTACAAATTTGATAATATAAAACTTTTATAGAATTTTTACTTACCTTCATGTCTTTCCCATCCTGAAGGGAGTGCCTCATCTGCCCTTAATTCTTCTAAAGAAAATTCTTTCTCACAAGAATTTTCCAATTCACTATCTAAATTAGATACATCATTTTTGTGATTATTTTCCTGGCATTTCTGTGATTTTCTTTTTACAGGCACAGCGTAAATATCATCGTTAAGTTCTCCATGTACATGAGGAATATCACCAGAATTTTCTTTCTCTGAATCATTAAAATTTTCTATAGAAGAAGTTTTACATATCCTGCATTTTATAAAACAATAAAAAGTAAATTTAGTGTAAACATATTATATAAATATAAAAATAATATGGCAATGTCAAGTTAAAAAAGTCATATTTATTAAAGTTTTAATATTTTTGCAGCATTGTGAATAGCATAAAAACATTTAAGAAACATCATGATTCTAAAAAGTCTTTATTTAAAAATTTATAAAATTGCTTTTTATAAAATCTTATATCTCTAAATAATATTTATTTTACATAGTTTTATTTATCTGTGAAAAAATATTTTCAAGACTTTTTACTTTTGATATCACTAAGTTTTTTGATGAATTTAAATGTTTCTAAATTTTGAACAGGTTGATTATTTTAATTTAAATTAAATCATTGTCAAAAATGTGGATGTTTATTATTTTATTCTAAATACCAAATTAATTTGTTTATTGGGAAATAATTAGTAAGAATGTTACATAAAAGTTGCTAGAATGTATGTCTTTCATAATACTTATAAGAATTAATACTTATATTTACTATTTAAAACTAATAATCTTAACCTGAATAGTGCTAATATGTTCACATTACTATAACATCAATACCTGAAAACACATTTTGTTTCAATATTGCAAGTGATTTTTTGTAAATTTCTCACAATTATACTTCAAATTAACCAAAAGAGTTCAAATTAAAGAGGAATTTTTTGCATTACTTCTATAGGAAATACAAGGGTCTGAAAGAAATATTTGAATTAACTCCAAATTCAAATTAAAATCATTTTAATTATCCATATTCTACTGTATTACAACAACTAAAAATGCATTAATCACAAACTTTTTGTAGTGGAAAATTATATAAAGAAAAAAGGTTACTGAAAATTAAAGTAAGTTTGTGAAAAATATCTCAAATCTTCTGTGCTTAAAAATGTTTGTTTTCAAATTTTTAATTAAATGGAGGCCAACAGATTCTGTTTGTAACAAAGATATATCATAAACAAAAAATTAGCTCAGAAAAGATTAAGACATTCAAATGTACTTAGAAGCAAATCCAGTAAAATTTTTAAAGAATTCATCTAAAACGATTGTGTTATCTTTAAGTTCTGTTTATACAGCTATGAAAAAAATCAAATTTCAGCATAATAAGAATTTTTCATAAAATTTTCACTTATTTATTTAAAGTTTCAAATACCATCTTTTGAATATTTAGTATATAATATTCTCTCTTAATGCATAGCAAAGCAATAACAAGCATGATCAGCCTACAAAATTGTCAAACTTACAATATTTCTTTCAAATACTTTTTCACTTAATCAACTACTGCTCTAGGCAGAATTTGAAGATATCTGCCGAGGTTTTTAAAATATATTCTAAATATAAATATATAAAAAAATAAAATAAAATTTTAAATGAAAATATTAAAAAGTTATTACTAAATACATATATATTTGTATGAAAATTTTTATATATACATATTATACTGCTTATGATTGTGATATTTGCAAATCGAAAAAACTGTAATACTACTATTACAAAAATAGCTTTCAATCTTTTATGATGATTATTATTATTAATCTTTTTATCTTTTCTTTCAAATTAATAATCTTGCAAATAAATTTAAATTTATAGTGATTTTATTCACTAGTGTTTAATATTAAATTATTTAGAAAGCTTTTTTCATTTTTTTTACAGATGAATAGCATTATTTTTGTTTTTGACAAAATAAAATCAGTCTGACAGACTTCTAAAGAGTACTTATATTAAAGAACTTACAATTAGTGTGGATAATCAAAGATTAAGAAGAATACAACAACAGAATAGTTGAATATATACATTTTTTTAAAATGTAATTTTCATCTTATAATTAAAACAATATTTACAGATGATAAAAAAATTAAGATCAAGAAAACCAGATCTGTATTATCAGGAATTTTATAGAATTTGCTTTACTTTGTGTAAAATAAAACACTTTACAGGGCTTGATAATATTTAAGTGTAGATATTATTAAATATTTTCAATATATAATATAATAATATGTTAGATACATCAAACACACCTTCTTGCTGAGAAACATATATTTATTACCCACAACTAACGTTTTCGGCTCAATTTATGGGCCATCTTCAGGTTTACTGTTGTTCGATTCTAATACACAACCGAACACGTTCAAAATTAAACCAAATTAGAACATGCGTTTAAATTTAACCAATAGAATAAGCATAACCAAACTAAAACAATAAATAAAATACCAAACTAACAGAAAAATGAAAAATGANGAAAATTTGATTCATCAGAAAAATTAATTACAACAATCTTTTATTGTAACAACTGTTGATTAAAACAATTAATCAACAGCTGTTGTAATAAAAAATTCTACAATGTTGTTTACATTTGAATGCATCTTGCAGATAAAGTGAGATGTTATTTTTCCAATGAAACAAAATTTTTGTATTTACCAACGTATTTACTCATTAAAAAATTTAATATTTACCTTATCTGGAGTTAAACTGCAAGTACCTTCCTGAGAATTCCTAAATGATAAAAAAAATTAATCATCATAAATTTTAAAAATGTTAAAGTAGATATGAAAATCATACTTCATATTAGATTCTATGTTATGTTCATTGTTGCACATAGACAGTTCAGAAGAATCAGATGATGATGACGATGAGATACTAGAGGACTTTGATGAAGGCATACTATTTATCTTTAAAAAAAACGAAACAAATTTTTTATTTCACATATAAAAATAATAAGATTAATAACTGGACAACTAAAATATGGGGTAATTACAAAAGAATACCCGACTATGAAAGGTTATATCTCCACAACCAAACAAGTTATAGCACCATTTCACGAATCATTGTGTAGGAAGCATTCTGAAGTTTCAGTTGTTTGTGGAGAGATGTTGCTATGAGCACCCTTAATCATGCTAAAAGTATATGTTGTCAGTTCGTGCCAAAATGGCAACCATACAACAGAAGGCATTCTGTGTTATTGAGTTTGCTAAAACTGAATTGGTTATGACTGTTTCAACATGCATTTCAAATAACTGAAACTTCAGAATGTTTCCTACACAATGATTTGTGAAATGGCACTATAACTTGTTTGGTTGCAGAAATGTAATTTTTTAAAGTTGAGGTATTCTTTTGTAATCACTCTGTATATTTTGAATGTTATATATTCACCGAATCAACATCTCTTATTAATTGCTTGGAATTCAATTTTTGACCAGGTTGAAATTGTGGTGGTTCCCTTTGTATTGTTCCACTGCTAATATGCCAATAATATGGGCCATCTGCATCTAAAATATAAGATTTATTTTAGTTTTAGATAAAAATAAATATTAGTATAAGTAAATATAATAATTAGATATAAATTAGTTTTCAGTAACAAAACATATTTATTAGCATTTTCATAATTAAAAAAGGCATTCTTAGGATTGAGATAAGAAAGGAATCACAAATACTATATTAAACATGTTAGTTCTATTTATAAAATGCTTATGAATATTTAAATAAAGATGTTTTAATCAAAAACCATCCTGAGTTTTTAATATATAAGATGTTATTACATCATGTTAACTCTACATTAATTCTTACATGTTGATATCAAGATTTATTCTACAATGAAAATTTAGTATTAAAAAGTTTTTTGTAATTTATATACTAATATAGGCTTATATCATTCTATAATAAAAAATAATGTGAAATTTAGAGAGACAATATTAAACCTAGTCTTTAAAATAGCATTATAAAATACATTTTTAATCAATTTAAGTAATAAATCAAGATTTTGGATCAAAGCCAAAAAACTTACAAATTTGATAATATAAAACTTTTATAGAATTTTTACTTACCTTCATGTCTTTCCCATCCTGAAGGGAGTGCCTCATCTGCCCTTAATTCTTCTAAAGAAAATTCTTTCTCACAAGAATTTTCCAATTCACTATCTAAATTAGATACATCATTTTTGTGATTATTTTCCTGGCATTTCTGTGATTTTCTTTTTACAGGCACAGCGTAAATATCATCGTTAAGTTCTCCATGTACATGAGGAATATCACCAGAATTTTCTTTCTCTGAATCATTAAAATTTTCTATAGAAGAAGTTTTACATATCCTGCATTTTATAAAACAATAAAAAGTAAATTTAGTGTAAACATATTATATAAATATAAAAATAATATGGCAATGTCAAGTTAAAAAAGTCATATTTATTAAAGTTTTAATATTTTTGCAGCATTGTGAATAGCATAAAAACATTTAAGAAACATCATGATTCTAAAAAGTCTTTATTTAAAAATTTATAAAATTGCTTTTTATAAAATCTTATATCTCTAAATAATATTTATTTTACATAGTTTTATTTATCTGTGAAAAAATATTTTCAAGACTTTTTACTTTTGATATCACTAAGTTTTTTGATGAATTTAAATGTTTCTAAATTTTGAACAGGTTGATTATTTTAATTTAAATTAAATCATTGTCAAAAATGTGGATGTTTATTATTTTATTCTAAATACCAAATTAATTTGTTTATTGGGAAATAATTAGTAAGAATGTTACATAAAAGTTGCTAGAATGTATGTCTTTCATAATACTTATAAGAATTAATACTTATATTTACTATTTAAAACTAATAATCTTAACCTGAATAGTGCTAATATGTTCACATTACTATAACATCAATACCTGAAAACACATTTTGTTTCAATATTGCAAGTGATTTTTTGTAAATTTCTCACAATTATACTTCAAATTAACCAAAAGAGTTCAAATTAAAGAGGAATTTTTTGCATTACTTCTATAGGAAATACAAGGGTCTGAAAGAAATATTTGAATTAACTCCAAATTCAAATTAAAATCATTTTAATTATCCATATTCTACTGTATTACAACAACTAAAAATGCATTAATCACAAACTTTTTGTAGTGGAAAATTATATAAAGAAAAAAGGTTACTGAAAATTAAAGTAAGTTTGTGAAAAATATCTCAAATCTTCTGTGCTTAAAAATGTTTGTTTTCAAATTTTTAATTAAATGGAGGCCAACAGATTCTGTTTGTAACAAAGATATATCATAAACAAAAAATTAGCTCAGAAAAGATTAAGACATTCAAATGTACTTAGAAGCAAATCCAGTAAAATTTTTAAAGAATTCATCTAAAACGATTGTGTTATCTTTAAGTTCTGTTTATACAGCTATGAAAAAAATCAAATTTCAGCATAATAAGAATTTTTCATAAAATTTTCACTTATTTATTTAAAGTTTCAAATACCATCTTTTGAATATTTAGTAAATAATATTCTCTCTTAATGCATAGCAAAGCAATAACAAGCATGATCAGCCTACAAAATTGTCAAACTTACAATATTTCTTTCAAATACTTTTTCACTTAATCAACTACTGCTCTAGGCAGAATTTGAAGATATCTGCCGAGGTTTTTAAAATATATTCTAAATATAAATATATAAAAAAATAAAATAAAATTTTAAATGAAAATATTAAAAAGTTATTACTAAATACATATATATTTGTATGAAAATTTTTATATATACATATTATACTGCTTATGATTGTGATATTTGCAAATCGAAAAAACTGTAATACTACTATTACAAAAATAGCTTTCAATCTTTTATGATGATTATTATTATTAATCTTTTTATCTTTTCTTTCAAATTAATAATCTTGCAAATAAATTTAAATTTATAGTGATTTTATTCACTAGTGTTTAATATTAAATTATTTAGAAAGCTTTTTTCATTTTTTTTACAGATGAATAGCATTATTTTTGTTTTTGACAAAATAAAATCAGTCTGACAGACTTCTAAAGAGTACTTATATTAAAGAACTTACAATTAGTGTGGATAATCAAAGATTAAGAAGAATACAACAACAGAATAGTTGAATATATACATTTTTTTAAAATGTAATTTTCATCTTATAATTAAAACAATATTTACAGATGATAAAAAAATTAAGATCAAGAAAACCAGATCTGTATTATCAGGAATTTTATAGAATTTGCTTTACTTTGTGTAAAATAAAACACTTTACAGGGCTTGATAATATTTAAGTGTAGATATTATTAAATATTTTCAATATATAATATAATAATATGTTAGATACATCAAACACACCTTCTTGCTGAGAAACATATATTTATTACCCACAACTAACGTTTTCGGCTCAATTTATGGGCCATCTTCAGGTTTACTGTTGTTCGATTCTAATACACAACCGAACACGTTCAAAATTAAACCAAATTAGAACATGCGTTTAAATTTAACCAATAGAATAAGCATAACCAAACTAAAACAATAAATAAAATACCAAACTAACAGAAAACTGAAAAATGAAAAATAAAAATAAAAATAAAAAATAAAATACGGTGTTAAGCCGCAAACAATAAGGAACAATTCCTAATACATTAACCCAGATATCTATTGAGTCACTGTAGACGCATTATTACTCGTGTTACTTCTTACTATATATTTCCAGGATGACGGTAATACCGTCGCATCTTTATACTAATCTTTATAATAATAATATGTATTAATTTAACTATATTTCACAAACAACAGATTGAACAGTTAATTAATGCTTCTAGTGCTTTAAATATTATTTTATTAATATTAGTTTATTGTGACTATAATTTATTAATAGGACTTATTATACTGATTTAACTTGTGGAAGAAATTTGAAAGATTGAATCAATCTCATAGTTCAAAAGAATAAACAGGTACAAATAAAAGTTTATTCTTTAGAACCAAAAGACTAAATTAATCTCTAATTTCATCTACTAGTTAAATCAGTATAATAAATTCTACTAATAGATTATAGTCACAATAGATTAATATTAATAAAATTAATAAAAAAATATAGATTGAACAGTTCAATCTATTAGAAATTTCATACCAATTATATATGTTAATATTTTCATTTGAATTTACGTTAACTTTTAAGTCTAAATATGCAATTAACATAAAATATCACCACTATTAAATGATATTTAATCCTTAACATTACATAAGTAAAGTTCACAAGAAACTGAAGATGACTTGAGGAAAGTTGGATTTGCTTTTAACAACAATGGATATAGCTTAACACTAAATCCAGATCAATCTACCAATACCCAGACACACTATTCTGACCTTGATATTCAGCTTTCAAAAGATAGGGTGATAATACACATTTATCATAAACCTACTTATTAGCCCTTTTTTTATACCATCCAACTCATCAGATCCCATGCACTATAAAACCACAGCCTTTAGGGCCCTTATTAAACATGCATACACCCACTATTTGCACACAGGATAAATGCACATGAAATAGAACACATTAAATGCATTGCACTATTCTCATTACCACCCACCCACCGACACCAACAAAAGTAGAATAGCCATACGGTCTCCACTAAATACAAAAACAGATAAAATGCACCATCCTCAGTTAGGAACCTAAGTTCCACCAGCTTTATACCAAAATAGCTAGAAACTTGAACCTAGATCTCATGTATAAACAATGCCCCAATGTATTTCAATTATTAATTAATGAAAAAAATACACTGGATGAATGATTTATCCCAGGAATATATAAAATCCTGTTAATAGATTATAGGTTTAACAGGCATCTCACCTGCACTGGCTTCTCCTACAGATCTGTTGGGGCTAGGATAAAAGATCATATGTATGATCTTTTATCCTAGTTTATTACCAAAAGTAACTATCCTTTGGTAACAGAAAATTAGGTACATTACACTGACACAATCGGCCTCTGAGGCCAAGGTGTCTCCTTGCTGGGAAGATGCTAAACTTCTACAGGAAATTTTTGAATTTTCTGTAGAATTTTTGAAGCTACAGAAATATATAAGGTTACTCTAAAAGACAGTGCATTAATAATGATAGCCTTTCCCTACTACAAGTGGAGCAGCAGTATGTTCTTTATTTGTTTAGTTCATAATTCTTTCATTTTATTTTTTATGTTGATTTATTTATTTTTGTTTCAATTTTTTGTATTTTCCAACTATATTTACTTATGTATTAATCATTTTTAACTTGTAATTTTAAAATGCATTGTGGCATATATGAAACATTCTTTCCAAACTTGTTTTATTAATCCTTTTTACATTGTACTGCACATATGGAATACTCTTTTGAATATAAAAAATATTTTAAAACGATGGAGTCTGTTTCTATTTCATTCACTTAATTGTATTATAAAAAATACATGCTAAATAATTTTCGATCTAATCCAACCTGTTGAGGATAAAATAAATGATTTTGTCTGTTTGTTTATTTTCTTTCTTTCTACTGAAAATAATATAAAAGTCAATAAACAAACATTTCTTTACAATAATCTTTCATTTTTGATATTATATAATATATAATACAGGTAGCTTTCAGTTAATGCCACAGTTCCGTTCCTACAAAAGCCAGCACAAATCGAATTGATGTAAAATAAACCCATATTTACAGTGAGGTATCGGGTTAGGTTCTACATAAATGAAAAATAAGCAAATAATTTTGTTTATTAATACAATATAATACAAAATACATAAAATACATTTTAAAAATTAAATTTATATCATAAAATAATAAAGTAAAATGTTTTTACTTAAAAATTTTAGTTTTGGATCTCGTACATTTTTCAGAAAAAAGGATCCATCTTTAATTGTTTACATTTTTGTTTTCTTTCATTAAGAATTTCGGAATATGGTCCAATGGATGCGACGATGCTCCTTTTTATATTTGCACCTCACTCCTAATCATTGTCTAACTCACAAAGTTCATCCGCCAAACTTTCCATAGTTGAAAGGATACATTAACCTGATGTAGAGCTACAGATGAGCGGAGACACTGATTGGTCAACCACCGATTGCCGTAGCACGTATATAAGGTCTGTTTGGGTGGGAAAATTCAAGGTGGCTAAGGAGAGATAAATATTGTCTGGCCAACGAGAACTAGATTTGTTTCACTAACAATAGTTTGTGATCGCCAGAAGTGCTACTGCGTTGTAAGGTGTTTTCCTGAACGAACTGATACGATATACATTCATTGGTGCTATGGATTTGGACGCTGTTTATTGGACTATTAGCGAGGTTGAGGCTGAAGTTTTAAATGCAAAATTGTGTACGTCGGACATTCAGCGCCGCTTTCCTGTAAGCCTAGAAGTTTGACAATGATGTTTGGAATGTCGAGCATGATTCCACTAACTATCCAAACACCATTGTCAAACTTCTAGGCTTACAAGAAAGCGGTGCTGAACATCTGACGTACACGATTTTGCGTTTATAACTTCGGCCTCAACCTCACTATTAAGTTTAAAAACTTGACTCGTGGGTATCTAAACATTTAGTATTTTAATATAATTTAATGCAAATGTATACATACCCAATAATATTAAACAGAAAAAATAAATATATTCAATAAAAATCTTTGTTTTAACGAATATACAACGTCGCGGCTCGGTAAATATGTCAACACTGAAATGAAAATCAGTCTAGCATAGGGAAAATTGGGGAATTACACCGCAAAACGGCAAATTGCACAGCGACATTATTGTGAATCGGCATAAACCAAGGGCTACCTGTATATCTAAAATCATAATGCTTGGTTTCTTATCAATTCATTTATTTGAAATATATACAATAGACCCCCTATAACATGGTAGATACATTCCGTGTTCTATGAAATTCATGTTCTACAAGTCCTTAAATACATGAGCCAATCACAGCCTGGCACATATGCAGTTTATGGACTACGGCTGTTAGAAAGGTTTTCTTCCATAAAATTAATCAATTCTAGACTAATTTGACTCAACATTTCCAAAACACGTATAATTTTTTGGGAATAATCCATATAAACTATGCTAAAAAAAAAATGTAGGATTACTTACCGAGTGTGCACCGTTCGACAACGCCATTGCTTAAGCTTGTTTTCGTTGTGGAGCGGCGCATCAAACGGTGGGCGCATGTTTCCTGATAAATTATTTTTCTGCAAAAAATTTGCTGAACTTTGGAGACATCATTAATATAAATATAATTTTTATGGCCGTTAAATAATAAATGGTTTTTAGTAGGTTCACTGCTCGTTTAAACTCACTGGTTTGTGCAATATCTGCTATTGGTCTAGATTTGACCAATCCTGTCGCAACACGAGTCAGCGATGATATTTTACAGTATCATATGAGTCTCTTTTAGCGTGTTTATACAAATACAATCAAAATTTTTTCGCCGTTATATACGAATCCTTATCACATGAACCCATTTTATAGGGGGTCTACTGTATTGCCATTACTTATTTATCATTTTACACAAACTATTTCTTAATAATGTTTTCGTTCCTCTGTTTATTATTGATCAGTAAAAAAGTAGAAAGTTCATCACACAGTTAAATATATTATATACTTATAATGTTTAACTTATTTTGCTATCAATAAAACCCGAAAAGTTTACTGTAAATTTTCTATAAAAACATAACTGAACTCTGATAATCAAAGTTCATTGGAACATTTAGTCAGAGTATTTGAATTTTTAATAAATTTCTTTCAAAAAAATGAAATCAAGTGACAAAATGATATGTACAACAAATCTTATTTATTACATGTAAACATTTTTAAAATTTTCAAAACATAAGTAAAATATACATTACCTTTCAGAATTTTCTGTTCTTGATATTGCTTCATAATTCTGAGAACAGTCAAGATCTGAATCCAATGATGAAACAGTTTCTTTCCTTTGCTTAGCAGCTGATTCTAAATTGATATAGTAATCAAGAAAACTACTACTTCTTCTTCCCATATTTTCTACAGTATTATTGTTAGAACATTTATTATTGTTGTCTTCTAATGTTTGTGTTTCAGTTTTATTGGAGGTACTAAAATTAAATATATTAAATACAACTTAATCATTCATATTCAGTTTTTGAATATTTTAAATAAAGAGAATAATTCACATATCATATATTTAATAAATAATATGTATTAATATTTAATAAATTTTTAAAAACCAATAAACAAGTACTAATAAATTTAATGTTTAAATATAACTAAAAAAGCAATATAATTTTTCAAAATCAGTTCTCTACAGTTAATTTATATAAGTTATTTCTTATTAAAATATTGCATTAACAACATAACCAATAGATGAGTGCAAGTCATCCAGTCTTGGCATAATAATAGGAATATTAGTATATTTTTACTTCAATTAAGTGAATACTTTTACGGATTATGAATAAGAATTTACTATCCTTGCTATTCTCTATTAAGAAGATAACACAATAGATTGCATGTTTCCTATAAATATCATTTTAAAAACATCATGCTTACTCTGAAACTCAACATGTCAAACTGATTTCATTAGATTTGATAGATGAACTATTGACAGACTACTGCTGACATTTCTCCTTACATAATGAATGAAAATAATTTTAAAATGTTTAGAAATTTTAATAGAAACATAATGAATCAAATTAATTGTGTGCTAGGAAATTTGGTAGCCATCCTGCATGAAAGATATAAAATCTAATTGTTAATGTCACCAGATTAACTTGCAAGAGTTATAATTTAGTTTCATTTTCCACTCTAAGCCAGATAGTTTTTTCTAAATTTCTCTAAATTAATTAGTCATTAATTTATAATTATTAAATATAGTATGAGAATGTGCTTAATGCTTCATTCTTGTATTAACCATTATAAAATTAAATCATTGCTTCATTATTCTTTTTATGAAACTAAGGTAAAAATCTACTTATAAGAAAATCTTTAAAGACAAATACTACAGGACTTATTTTCTTTTAAACTAGTTGTACCCAACAAAATATCTGCTGTAAAAAATTGTTAAGTAAAAATAAAGTAAGTAAAGAAGCAAATATATATATTAATATCAAATGTTTTGATATACTACTGTGATCAAAATTATTAGGAATGGTTTGTTTAAAATGTGTACATGTAAGAGGGCATATCATTTTTCTTTTCTTTTTTTCCATTTGATATTACTTTCATTGACATCTAGTAGCAGCAATCTGTATGTCATTGTCTGTTTTCATTTGAAAAAATGCTTGTTTTGTGCTGGTGATTTTTCAAAATTTTGAGTGTAATGCTGGCTCTCCACTTAGCATGATTTTGAGGCAATTCAATCACTTTTGTCATTGCTCATGTGCAAGAAAAGTCACTTTTCAGTTAGAATCACTTCCAAGTAGTTTGACGACAGAGTACTGGGACAATGTATATCTTTGCCTGGCAATTCTGTTGCAGCCAATCAACATGCAGCATCTGTAATCCCAAGTGTACTTGACATCATAGTTTTATCCATCATTCTTAGCATTATATACTGCATGATGTAGAAATTTTAAAAAGATGCAAAAAAATAGCATATATTAAATTTTTAAAAATTAAATTGGAAATAGTTAAATTTAAAAACTCATGCCAAGCTTTATATAGTTTCTGGATACAAATTCACTAAGTTCAGTATTAATAAAGTTCCTTTAGTATTAACACAAGCACTTTCGATGAGTGTATAACCATCGTCTTCAGGTGAAATGAACAAATTTTAACGAAACAAACGTGCAGAATGTTCCAAAGGAACAGAATTTTTAAATTTAAATCAGGTGTCTGGAAATTCTGCACGTTAACTATTTGCATGTTAAGAACATGCAAATAGTTTTTGATATGTTCGAATCTTTAAATTTTACAGTGCTAGCGGCACATGTGTAGAAATGCTACTGCGTTGACGATGCGATGTTAGGTGTGTTTCAAGGCAATCCACACCCCGGGTAGATCGAGGGTGGGAACATTGCATGCTTCTGTAGTAGCTGTGAGAAGCGCTTCCCAGATGAACACAAGCCTTCAATTGTTGCAGCATTTAAGTATTGCTGTTCTGGGCCATAGCAGGTTGTAGCCTTGCTCAAAAACTTTTTTAGCGAGCTCTGTAGAACATCTTCCTTTGGCTACATCGTCCTGATGCTTTGTAAGGTGGGAGGCGAGCATTCTTGTTGTTGCTTCTATGTATCTTGTAATAGCTCCTGTTGCCAGATTTTCTAGCACGGCAATACTTAAATGCTGCAACAATTGAAGGCTTGTGTTCATCTGGGAAGCGCTTCTCACAGCTACTACAGAAGCATGCAATGTTCCCACCGTTGATCTACCCGGGGTGTGGATTGCCTTGTATCGGCATCTAAAAAACGAAACACACCTAACATCGCATCGCCAACGCGGTAGCATTTCCATGCATGTGCTGCTAGCACTGTAAAATTTAAAGATTCGAACATATCAAAAACTATTTGCACGTTCTTAACAGAATTTCCAGATACCTGGTTTAAATTTAAAAATTCTGTTCCTTTGGAACATTCTGCATGCTCGTTTTGTTAAAATTTGTTCATTTCACCTGAAGACGACGGTTATACACTCATCGAAAGTGCTTGTGTTAATACTAAAGGAACTTTATTAATACTGAACTCAGTGAATTTGTATCCAGAAATTAAATTAAAAAATATAAAACTTTGTTTTAAGTTGAAAGTTTTGCCACCATTTTAAAACATTCCCATAATTCATTGGAAATCACCTTCCATCTCACATAAAGTGAGATAGGTACTGTACTGTACATAGAGCAGCGATTGCATAGCTCTATGAATCATAAGATGATGAGAACACAATTGCACTAAGTGGAGAGCCAGGATAACTGAGTTAAGAATGTGCATTCAATTTTGTTTTTGCAACAGAATTACTGCTACAAAAACATTGGGAAATGTTGCAAAAAGCCTTTGGTGACGATAATCTATCAAAAAACACAAGTTTGAGTGATACAAAATGTTCAAGTGATACAAAATGTTCAAGGAAAGCAGAGAACACGTTGAAGATGAACCATGCTCTGGTAGACCATTCACTTTAACTGATGAACAATATGTCACTCAACTCACAGATCTGGTGCTCAATGATCGTTGTTTAACAATTAGGGACATTACTGAACATGTTCCAGTATCATTTGAATCTTGTCAAGCATTTTTAAAAGATCATTTTGGCTTGCAGCATGTTGTTTCTGAAGTCATCCTGAAAATGCTGAATTTTTTCCAAAAACATGTTCAAGTGGTCAAGGAAATGATTTCTCAAAGCAAATCATTTTTAAAGTGCATCATTATGGATGATTAAAGATGGATCTACACTTTTGACACCAAAACAGCTCAAGAATTGAATAAATGGCACTTGAAGTAAAGAAGACCAAAAAGATCATGTCAAACAAATTCAGTCAAAAATCAAGGTCGTGTTCACTTTTTCTTTCATTGTAGTGATGATGTGTATTGCCAATTCCTTCTGACAGGGAAAATGTCATCAAAGAATATTATTTGAACATTTTGCATTGTTTTCATGAAGAATTTCATAGAAAACAACCTGATTTGGAGTGAAAAAACTCATGGATTTTGCACTGCAACGATACACCTGACTCATGATGCTCCTGTTGTTCATAAATTTTTGACCAAAAATTCAACAAATACAGTAATACAAACTCCATATTCATCTGATATGGCACCATATGACTTTTTTCCTGTTTCCTGAACTAAAATTTCCACTTCATGGTCACAACTTTTGAGTTAATTGATGCCATAAAACAAAATTCAGTGCAAGTCCCAAAAGGGTTTCAGAAAATGACTTTAAAGTGCATGTTTTGAGACTTGGGAAAAAAGGTGGCATAAGTGCATTGTATTGCAGTGAGAGAGGATTACTTTGAACAAGACAAAATAAATTTTGATGAATAGATTCAAATCTTTGTTTTACTGAACCATTTATGATACTTTTTGATCACAGGGAAATAACACTATTTTTTCTGTAATAGTCAATTTTATTATGAAACCAGTACTAGAAAATCTGGTATCAAAATATTTCTTACTTCAAGATTGCTAATTACATTACTATATCAAGTTTTTAACAAACAAATATTAATTATTAGTAAATAATGTTAAAACATTGAAGATTACCCTTATTATTAATTATTTCTGAAATACAAGAATACATTTTTTGTGTAAAAGTATTTCAGTCCAGATATTAAAATCAACACACCTAGTGGGATGCAAGACTATTGCAAGGGGATACAGCTTTTACCAAATTATTATTTTTTAATACAAGCAAACAAACAGTCAAATCGATGTAGAAAAAATAAACCAGCAAAACAGTTATGTCTAATTCACAACCCTCGTTGAGTACGAATGCTAAAAATCCATCCACAAAATGTCTTGACAAAAATCAATGCTGCAGCAAACAATATATTTCATTTAATAAGATATATTGTTTTGTATGCCATTAAATAAATTATAAGGACAGTATTTATGAAATTAGATTATTATGAAAACTGAGAGGCACAACAATTTTTTTCTGAAAAAGAGGGGACAGAAGGTATAGAAAGTTTGGAATCAACTGACTTACAACATTCATATATGTTTTATTGAAATTCAAAATAAAGAAATTAAAAAAAATCACAGTTAATAAAAATTGAAAAATATAAATTAGTACTGTAAGGAACCAAGTCTGAGCGTTATTTTTAGTTACTTTTATTTTTGCTTTTATTCTATTTTTGTTTGGGGCTTATGTTTTGTTAGGATGAAGGTTTCCTCACCACTCACCTTAGAAACTTAAAATAGAAGAGAAACCAACTCACTGACGAGAAAAAAGTGCCATAGATAAAACTTGCGCACACTTGCGCTCCTGAGTGGAAAAAAGTAAGTCCACAATGAGAGAAGGGGGGAACTCCCCACAAGCACAACTTAAAGAATAAAACATCCCGAAAATTGTCATAAAGAATAATGTAAAAAGTTAGAAAGTATTGTCGGAAAATAGGCTGCCAGGCAAACAGAAAAAGTTTATTGTTAGCAATAAGTATGTAAATGAGGGGAGTGATCTCACTCAGAATTGTGACATCACCTCACAGTATAAAGACCGAACCTCAAGTGAAGATGACTGAGGTGAGCTTCTGTTAACAATGAGCATGATGAGCTTTGTAGCAGCAAACGAGAGAGGTGTCCGATAGGATAAAGTAGTTCCAAGGTGATTTTGAAGTTATTCGATTTGTGGATCAAAGATTAGTGAAAGTCTTGAGAGTTGAGGAAAAAGGTTCCTAGTATATTGAGGTGATGATTAGGATCTTTAATTCATAAGAATTATTGTACATAAGTTAAGTCTTTGAATTTTTTGTCAAATTCCAAAGGGGAATACAGTTAAGTTAGAAAATAGATTGATTTGAGTTTTGTCGAGTTGATTCTTATTGATTTACGTTGAATAAATTGTTATTTAATTTTTACTAAATTTTGTATATAGTTATTACTAGAAATTTTTATTAAATATTGGATTGTTTTTGACTAACTTTGGCATTATTTAACTCGGTGCATGCTTAAAGTCCAGGCCTGGCACATTAACGCAAATCCGCGTAAAGTACCCGTTAGGTAACGGCTATTTCCAGCACACAGTCGTGTTGATAATCATTGGAAAAGGTGAAAAAATAATACAGTACTTTACAGTACTTTAAAATGCTTGATAAAACTTACATGTTATTTTCTCTGTCTGATTTTAACAAAGGAGTATTTTCTAAACTTGTTAATGGATCTGGATTTGGTTCTACACCCATAGAAATTGTATCAAGCTTGGCATAGCTGTGACGACTTTTAATTGATGATTTGCTACTGAAGCGGCATACTGCATCCAGTTCCTCATATAATTCATCAAATGTATGATCTGGGGACTCAGAATCAATAGGTTCTGGATTACTATTAACATCAGATGGATCCAAATGGTAATTGGGATTGGTAAAACTCAAGACACCATTCTCTGAAAAAAATAAGTTAATGCTAAAAAATATATCAAACTTTAAAACATTATATAAAGATAATATATAAATATTGTGAACTTGCTTAAGTTTAATTTGAAAACAGAATAATTCAGTAAGTGAGATCACATAAAGGAATAATCTAAAAACTGGAATGTTAAATTATAATAAATTTGAATATGATAAATGGTTTTGCATATTGTATGTTATATACTCTATTTTCATGCAAATTACCCATAGGCTATCCATGTTTAAAAGATAGCTTCAAAGAAGCATGGGTTATGCATGGGCACAAGTTATATGCTTATACTAAATTCCAATTATGAACTTGGAGCTCTGCTCTAGTGTATATGGTGAAATGTGTTATGCAAAAATAAAATTTTTGTTCTGCAGATTTTTTTGCAGGTTATATACTGCTGTGGATTATATAAGCCTTTAAAAAAGTATCATTTTAGAGATAATACAATATTAAAACTAAATGACTTCTAATAGACATATATTCAGATATAACTTTAAATTTATAACTAAATATAAATCAGACTATCCTTCAGAAAATACAGACTGATTAGAACTATATACAGTATAAAAAATATTTTTTTTATATAAAATTTAAACAAGTTCCAGCATTTTTAAAAGAATACTCTAGTGCAATTTTTTCATAAATCAAACTAAAAAGAAATATCTGCAATCAAAAATAAGAATATAAAATATATTAAGAAAAACAAACAAGAATATAAAAACATTTTTAATATATCTCTAATAGTAAATATAAAGCTTCACTATATATCTAATATTAAAATTTATAAAAAATATTTAAATAATAATTATAAATTTTCCAAAACTCATTTTTTAGCAAAACAGCATTAAAAACTTCATTTCTAAAGTATCAAAATAATCATAATCTAATAACAAATTTTTAAAATATTACGATCGGCAATGTCTTTTTTGTTGACTATAAAAATTTACATGCCATAAAGATATCAATGCCAAGCAACATACAGTAAGACCCCGCTTAATGCGGGGATGCGTTCCTAGACAACAAAGCATTAAACGAAACAGTGTTAAACTAGGTAATTTTAACATAGAATAAATAGGGATAGAGGAACATGCAATCGGAAAAAAATTTTACTTTAATTTTATTTTTATATTAATTTGTATAATAATATATGTTAAATAACACAAAAATATGCACACAGAAATGTATAATAATATATTAATTAGTTCATTTTTTTTATATTAATAGTTTATTTTTTGTGACGAAGGTCCTGACTTCTGCGAAATTCTTGTTTTTTTTGCAATAAAGTCGTAAAGTTTCATTTGTCACTTTTTTTTTCTTTCCTTAAGCAAATGTCAGTAGCAGAAGATCACATCCAAAATGCCACTTTTTGCTTTTGCACTCCTTTCAGAATCTGGATCATTCACTAGTTTGATCAACGATTTCGGTTATCGTTACCAAACTTTTACTAAGGAAATCTGTACAGAAATTTTTTGGGTTGTTCGTTTTCAGAATCTCCATTTTCCAGTTCCACACGAATTCCATGTTCTGCCAGTTCTTGAAGGTCATCGTTGGTAAGGCTTTCACCAGAAACCTGCTGTAACTCCTCAATATCCTGTTCGTCTACATCTCCTAGTCCTGCTGTATCAATTAGGTTGAGCTTGATCAACCTAACGATACAGATATAGGCTCTTCTCATTGAGAATTCTTGGATACCTTTATCTGTAACTTCTTCCACACTTTGTTCGTGCACTTATCAGTTAATTCTTGCCAAGCAAAGCCGATATTGCCTATGGCATCCATGATATATTTTTTCCAAAATTGTACCAAACAAACATAGATTTAAAGAAAGTACATCTTTTTGCCACCTTTTCCAATTGGTTCGTGTTCGTAAATAATCATATTACGTATGAATCAATAAAATTCCACAATAATTTAAATCGGCATAAATTTTGAGCTTTTTTTAAGCTTTAAGCAGACAGCATTATATTGAATCAGAATTAAGCGGGATCTTACTGTACTTTGTAACAGTATACAAATTATCATATATTGCATAAATTTATCAAAAAATTTTGGTTTGATTGGAAAATGATCATTGGATAACTATAGTTTGCAGATTAATTTAAAAGAGAGAGAGAGAGTGAGAGAGAGAGAGAAAAAATGTTTTTTTGGCCTACCAGTTTTTATGATATGTAAATTTTCAAAATGATATTCATTAGAGTTATACCATTGACTTCTGTATAATAAAGTCTTTTTTGACTGTTTTGTTAGAAAATGGTCATAAAATAAACATTCAACTAGAATGTTCTCTTTGTTAATTTTTTTTAAATAAAATAAAATTTTCAAATTAATCAAAATTTATTAGTATCTCTGGATACATTTAAATCAATCTATAAATTTTTGTTAAATATTACAGACCAGCTTATAAATATTTCAGAAATATAACATTTCTAAACAATAGCTATGGAAGAACTTTCATCAGGGCTAGTGACAGATTAAACATGATATTATATTAAATTTATCTATTTACTTAACTCTGAAACCACTTCTATAGTTTTTCCTATGTAGAAAACCTAAATAAATATATAACTTGTTTGTGCAAATGATACTGAATAAAGTTTCTGAATAAATATGAAATAGTTAGCAGCAGCTTTTGAACTGGGAGACTGGCACTTCTTTAATTTTTAGCAAGGAAAGAAGTGGGTCGGCCATGCTTAACTTTAAACTCATTTATATTGATACTTAAGCTTTATTATTTGACATCATTTCAAATGTTAAGAATTTATTTAAAATTATGAAAAGTAAATATATTTACTTTCTTAATATATTTTAAAATACATTAATAATTGCCTATAAATTATCATCTAGCAAATATACATATTCATAGCAACATATAAGAAGTACAAAACATCAAAAAAAAAAAAAAAAACAAATCCTTGTAAGAAACTTCATCAAGACAGCAACAGTTTATTGGACAGGCCTTACAAAATGCAGTCAGTTCTCCAAAGAATCAATTTTTTCTTAATATTGCTGAAACATTTATCAGAACAGGAATTCCATTATCAAAACTCAAACAATCTATATTTGAAAATTATCTTGAAAAATATATTGGAAAAAATTGCCAGATGAAAGTACTATTAGGAAGAAATTCTTGCCTTCTGTCTAACAAGCAACTTTTCAAAAAGTGTTAAGTACTATGGACGAGAATCCAGTCTGCTTTATCTTGGATAAGACTACTGATGCCTTAAATAGGTGTGTGTTAAATATCTTGGTAGTTCCTCTAACTGGTGAATATGTAAAACCTATGTTGCTGAAAACATATTTTTTGAAAAAACTAACTAACAACTAACAACACAGTCGTCATGCAAGCTTTTAACGATGCCTGCTCAAAGCTTCTGCCAGATGGAATTTGATATGACGATGTGATTCTTATTCTTTCAGATCAAGCATCATACATGGTACTCACTTTTAACAATTTGAAAGGAATGTACCCAAATATGAAACATGTTACTTGTTTAGCCCATGCTATTCATAGTGTGTGTGAATGTATTTGCAATAAGTGCTATGTAGTAAATTCATATATGTCTGAAATGAAAAAAATTCTGCTGAAGTGTCCAACAAGAATTCAATAATACAAGGACATTAATAGTCTGCCTCTTCCACAAGTTCCAATAGTAACTCACTGGGGAACTTGGATAAATGCTGTGGTGTTTCATTGTGAACATTTTCAGATGATTTCAGAATTTCTTAAACAATTGCAGTCAGAAACTGCCACCATATATAAAATTCAACAGGTTATAAAAGACCAAAAATTGGAAGAAGAACTTTATGCAGTACACACATTTAAGTTCTTAGTAGAAACAATAAAAAGTTTGGAAGAAACTGGAAACACTATGGAATATCAGTGGGGAATAGTTAAAGAAACTCTAAACTGATTAGAGGAATTTGCAAAAGAAAAGTTTGAGCAATCAATTCAGAAAAACCCAGATATTCAAGAATTTGTTCATTGCAAAGACTTGAACCAGAGAATTAAATGTGCATGGTTTGCTCCACTTGTTTCTGTAGAAGTAGAAAGATTTTTCTCCATATATAAACATTTGTTAGTAGACAAGTAAATGAAATTTACAGAAAAACACATCAAAATGATAAATATTGTGTACCGTAACAGATTTTTATTTGAATAGAACTAATTGTGTTTTCTGAAATGTAAATTTTTGCACTTATTTCTGCCCCTTTTCAGCCTTTTTCCTGCACCTTTTTTAAATCTTTTTTTTTTCACCTAAAAATCCAGCCTATACTCATAATACAGTAGGTTAATCTTCATTGCTGCCATCTTGGATTTTCCCTTTCTCTTTACATTAACAAATCTATCTTTCTTCATGGAAATATTTTTTGCTAGTACAAAAATTGAGTGCCAGTCAATGTTCCCTCTAATTTTTTTTGTCAATGAGCAGAACATATACTTCTCTGAGCAAAAAAAATTTTTTGCTGAGCAGATTCTGAGAAAAAAATTTTTCTGAGCATATATATATATAAAATCTTATTTTTTTTTATAAAAATTAAAATGATTAATTATAAAGTAGAGATTAAAATTCATTTTAAAACATACTTTTATACAAATTATTAGCTCTTGTCAATGATTTAATGTATTTAATTGAAATATACGTAGCAATAATCATGTTGCAGACAGAGTGAGAAATAAGTAAACAACAATTCAAATCGGTGTGCATGCTCGCCTACGCGGCACATAAATTCTCGTGTGCGGCAACAATTTGAGCAGTGCGCGGCTGCGCAGCTTAGAGGGAACATTGATGCCAGTGTGATTCACTAAACAGAAACATTTGCAGAAAACATCACTAATGCTATGAAATTTGCTTTGATTTTTTGTGTTTCACTAACAAATTTCACTTGCTGTGAACTAGCTTTTAATGTAGAAGATATTTCACTAAATAGTTTTATTAGGCATATAATATCAGTATTCTTTTTTGTTTCTAGATAATGAAATAT